ATGCTTCTTCTGCAGCCAAAACGTGTGACAGTTGCCACTTTTGGAAGGTGATTGTGCCAAAACCCGAGGAAAATGCACACTCCAAAGTAGATTGCACACTGTGAAACCTCCAGCTTTGTCCTAATTTGAGGCGCAGCTTGGCAATTTGAAGTTTAGAGCAGCTTGCTAATTTGAACGGTTTTAAGATGTGGCAAGCCAAATGAAGGTGTCGATTTTCGTTTGCACGCACCAAAGGCAAAGCTAGCTCTGGAATTTTGGTTTTCTTGAACAATGCTCTAAGTGTGTGCAAACAAAACTGGCTTCCCCAAACCATGCGGTTCACAGCGCAATACATGAAGATACAAGCACTTACGCACGCCGAAAAAAAACAAACCTTTACTGCAATGTTTGAGTTTGGTTCCTATCTTTTTGTACTGCCAAGCACCTTCTTGCCGACAATGCACAACACGTTGGAGCTTGTTGCCAAAAACATGGCAAAGGAAACAAATCAGTTATGTTTTTTTGGGCAAGATAAAACAAGGTTGAGGTTGAAATAGAAACAAAAACTGCTCTAGGAGTGGGTTGTACTTTTCGCTTGCGCTTCGAATTCGTAAAATGTATTTCTTTTTCAAATGCTGTCACCGGTAGTTTGAGCGTGCTTGTTCGAAAGTTCGCACAGCTTTGGAAGCCACGAGAAGCTTCCAGTTTCGGCGTCTGATCACAAGTTTTGCGCGGAAAAAGTTAAAGCTGGAGAATAGAATCAACCCAGAAGGTTTTGAAACTAAGTTTGTTTTGGGTTCAGGCGTTTGTGTGAATCAGCAATGGTTTTACTTTCAACCATTTTGGTGCTTTCCACTTACTGGAATGCGTACGAAGAAGATGTGCACTTTGTTCAAACGTTTTTGTGTGGAAAAACATTTGTTTTTTCTTTTCAATGTTGGTGGTTTTACTGGGGTACAAGTCTAGCTTTCTCGTCTCGATACCCTAGGAGTTTAGCCATGTTTCAGCTTTGTTGAACAAAGTAAGCTTGCTTGGAGCCGTGTAATTTTTTTTTGCGCGTACGCACAAGCTCTTCGACGACCGGTGGTTGCATGAGGATGCTTCTCGTCCGTCGTCTGTACAAGTTGTTGGAGATGTTCGGCTTTCGTAGGGTTGGCTACGTGTGCAAGAGAAGGGTTGGACACTTGAAACTTTCATGCCGTTCGCCATTCGCACATAAAGACTGAAAGTTGTGGTGCGGTTTTTCTTGGAGACGAACACCAGGCCCGAGTCCGACTACCGCTGAAACGATGTCGAGTTTGGAGGACAGTTGCTTGTCGTATGTATTGTTCCCCTGCTGTCGAGTGAAAGCGTCGGGATGTTGGAGACCGGCCTTTGGGGCGGACGTTCAAGGATGTGGTCTTTGGTCTGCGATGAAATTTCGATACCTGCCGACTTAACATGTAAGATGTTGGTGTGCGCCAGTGTGGGGCTCAATGACCCATGCAGCAGTTACGAAATTGAAATGCAACCGATGCTGCAGGCTTTGTGCCGCAGTAGAGCCGCAGATTCGCAAAACAATCATTCATGGTGTCAAGTAGATGCTGTCTTTTCCGTAGCTCGCGAAGCATAGGGTAGGCAAACTCGTCGGCCCAACCACTGCTTAATTCTGACCCCACTTATCGTAAATCAAGCTTTGTGAAGCATTCCGTAATACATGGAGATGGTCCAGTGCAGCTGGAAAAGGAAATGCGCGACACTCGGCAGTCAGGCATCCATAATAAGCCAGAGTATGTCTCAGCGTAAATGAAGTTCTACTGTACACCCATGTAGTGTGCATGCGCAGACCGAGGTGGATGTCCAGGTGTGCACACACACATCGTCTTGTTGCCCACGGAAATAAGGTGGGTGGAAGTTCAAGCCCGAGGCCTCGATGCCAAGCGGGACCTCTGGGCAAAACATCTGCAAAAGGCAGTGGGCTCTGCATACTGCATGACATGACCTGTCTCAAAAACAAAAACTATTCCAGGCAGCCACATGGAAGCGCGACTCTGCTCCTCCGCGCCAGTTCCATGTTGGTCTGGTTCAAGATGCGGCAGCTTGGCAGACAACTGCCCAGTTCCGTGTTGTCAAAGCTTGAAGCAGCATGGTCAGCATGGTCATTTCAGCTCGTCCTGCAGAGCCACACAGGCCCACTCCGCGCGAATGTTGAAAGCTGTCTGGCTGATTGGCAGCCGACACTTGGAGCAGGACTGCTGATGGTGCAACATAGAAGCAGCAAAGTGCTGCTTTCGGCGTGTCCTTCAGGCCGCCGCAGCTCTCCACGCGTGGCAAGTTCATGCCGTCAAAGCAGGCAGATGCAGGAATGAGGCAGGGGACAAGCACTGCTAGCCAATGGCATTTCGAGCGTCAGTGCAGGTGTCGCATGAGCTCGGTCTTCGGGTTCGCTTGGTGGTATTGGCCAAGGCAGGACTCGAATGAACTTAGGACGGTAGGATGGTCAGGACTATGACTACGTATTGGAATCTGTCATGACTGTGACTGCTATGTTCCCCTCGAGGCCTTCAGTTGCTGGCTTCGAGCGGATTCTTGGATTTAGTGCAGTCACTTCTGTAATCACCGTGGGATTGCATCCGTGCAGATATTTTTGCATACATGACCCAAACCCTTAAGAACCTCCATGTTTTGGAACAGTCCGATTTACAGAAAAGACACATACCATGTATTCAATTACATGTTAGAATACCTTACATTACGTTGCATTATACTACACTGCATTTCCACATGTTTGATGATATTATATCGTATGGCTGCTATTATCAGTACAAGATCATTTCTAGCAGTATATTTTTTGCTAGTAACATGTTGTAATAAGTACTGTTATTATCATTATTATCAGCATTATTCGTATTGTGTATTAATGCTCGTCTTCTTCTTATTGTTCTTATATAACTATCATTACATGGTTTTTGTGTTTTACGGCATTTTCTATTGTATAGTATTATATTGTTGCATGTTTTTTAATATTATGATATTATACGATGCTATGTTACATCATACCATATTCTTGCATTATGCTTAACTATATGATATGATATGTTTATCATGTTGTTTATCTTACCTGATGTTATATCATGTTGTGCTTTGTATTATCATATTACATCACATCATATCGTTTCGTGTTTGTAAGTTGTTATATCAAACCAGGTCTTATGATGTTATGCCACAGTTGTTTAGCCTATATTATACCAGATTATATTGCATCATACTATAGTCCATTTTCCCATGCTACACTACATTGAGCTAGATTACACTACATTATATGATATTATATTGTATTGTGTCATATTATGCAATGTTGTGTTATATGGTTTTAGATTACATCATATTCTATTTTATGATGGTATGTGGTTTCATTTCTGCAGTTTAGTCTAGTCTAGTATAGTATAATATAGTATAGTATAGTACAATATAATGTAGTATAGCATATCACATCATATTGTACATATTATGGTTGTATTTTGTTTAGTTTATACTATATTTATGTATACACATCCACACAGATCTAGTCTCCTCTTCATCGAAGCATCATCGACTCAGGGATCCCGCTTGAGATCTGCCGCACATTCCTGGAAGCGCTTCCTCCAGGAAATGCGGATGGCTCACAGGCACTTGGTTACGGCCAGCACTGTCCAGAGAAGCCTTGAGAGCAAGATCGAATTGGGAGCCAAGTTGCGAATGCCAAGTCTGGAACTGCAGGATCTTTTTGCCGCTTGGTGGAGTCTGACAGCAGAGGCAAAGCTAGACATCTGGAATGCAGCGGCTGTGAGCATTAGTGCGCAACTTGGTGGGCACAGCTCGTGCACAAGCATGCTACTGCGTGAGCATGCTGAGAGCTTTGCATCGCCAGAAAGCTTTTCAACGTCGTCTGAGTGCGGTGGCTCCGATTATTCAGAGCCAGACGATCTGCAGACTGACACTGGCTGGCAGCTCGGATGCTCTCAGCACGATTCTTGGGACAGTCACAGTTGGAAAGGTTGGTTTTTGCTGCCCCTGGCCTTCAGAGCTTGGCGTGGGACTGCGAAGATGCAGCAGCAGCAACTGTGCTCAGCGCGTTCCAACACATACTTGTGGGACAATTTTATTTGCTGCTTTATTGCCTGGGAGCTGTTCGTGTTGCGGGGGCGTGCTTTGCATTCCAAGCTCGCTGGCAGCTGCAGATTGCAAGACCGGCTTTGTCTTGATGTGTTCACAGTGTGGAAGACCGTTCTGCTTGAGGGCCGAGGTAAGCGAGCATCATTGGACGTATTGTGCAAGCTGAAGTGCTACTCCAGCGACGCAGTTCGCAGCTGTTGGAATGCATGGTACTCGACCAGAGACACTGTCGGCTTGGCATGGAGAGGAGTTGTCATCGGCATGCTCCGGCAGCAAGGGCGCCAAAGAGCGCTTGAATGTTTAGTGGACGCAATGGATGCCCGGTCGGAGCGTGAGCACACAGAACGCAGCATGGCTCTGCAGCGTCGTGCTGACAAGCTGCTACTGGATCTTGTCCTTGTCGTTTGGAAATCTGCTTGCGAGACGAGCCAACTACGGCATCGATTGGACAAGACTGGCTTAACTGCAAACGCCGCTGTGTCGGATCTTGTGACTCATCATTCGCAAGCTGCGCGACTCGCGGCAATGGGTAGCATCTTCGCCGGCTGGTCCTTGTTCGCACGTCTGCAGCGTCAATGTCAACGATGCTCTCGCAACATTGACAAGCAATACACGAAGGCGAATGCTGAAACGCTTGGCTGGTGCCTCTTCGCTTGGCGGCAAGTATCCTTCAGCGCACAGTACAGAGGCAAACTGGAAGTCTGCAGTGCAAGGCGTTGGGATACGCTTCTGTCCAGCCGATGCTTCTACTTGTGGATGCAAATCGCACAGAGGATGCAGGCAAGTCATGGCCTTCGCGAGACTGGTTCAAGGGCAGGGTTCCAGCATGTGGCAGAAATCCGTGCAGATGTTTTGGCTGAGTTGCGCACGAGAGGGCCCACGGTGCTTCATCCACTGGTACGTGATGCCATCCGATATGCTTTTCTGGCATGGAAGTCAGAGTACCTGCAAGCAAACCTTCAGGCAGTCCAAGCTTCTGAAGCTGGAAGGCTGTTTGCATCGCAAAGATCATGCAGGCTGGTTCACCTGGCCCTGCATGCGTGGTGGCATCTACAACTCAAGCAGCGCACAAGGAGTGCACACCTTCAGACACTTGAGACCTTGTTGTCCAGAACCATTGTGGAACAGTACTTCCGGAAATGGCTCCTGTACTCGTTCTGTCCATCGAAGCTTCTGCCGTGGGTGCGCATCCTGCTCTCTCTCCGTGCAGAGGTGAAGTTTATGCGTAGGACCAGGTCTGATGTCCAAGCGGACCAAGCCCTCTCCTTGCCAAAGCAGGAAGTGGCCGTGTTGAGACAGGTCCCTGCAGCGCAAGCTGACGAAATCACGGACGAGGAGGAGCAGCCAGAAGAAGAACAGCTGCCAGCAGTGTATCAGCCCATAATGACCCCTGCAAACGGGCCATTGGCTGGCCACTGTACAAGGTCTAGCACGTCCTCATCAAATCTGGATAGCATGCAGAGGTCCGATGATGCTAGTTCCATGGCGCCTGCACCCTTGTTACCTGGGCAAGGACGGAGAGTGGATGATTTGTTTCCCAAGCCAGCTATCTCAACTGTGGAAGATCTCCACAGACGCCTATATGTGGAGCAAGCATCGCTGGTGCGGCGAGTTTTCCACAGGCTGACATTTTAATTCAAGGGTGCTTTTGAATCTTGCAATCATGCAGGTGTCAAGTGCCACTCCCTTGCAGGTGGTGGGACATGTCTCTGGCGGGGCAGCTGCGTTTGATGGAGCTGAGGGCTCCACTGGTCGAAAGGCAGGTCTGCTCGGGACACTCTTGCGTTCTGCAGCCCCTGCATCTCTCTCGCTTTGAGCCATGCCTGCCCCAAGCCTAGACTGCCCGCAGCAAGGGATCCGGATCAGCCTTCCAGCCCCGACGAAACAGCAGCACCCCCACGAGTTCAGAATCCACACCACAAACACCGTGTTTTTCCGGGCCAGTTGAGGCCAAGGCCATGAAGGGGAAGCCGCAGAGGCACAAAAAACAGCCAGTTGGGACCACGGCTCAATTGCACAACTTTGTACTCTCCGGCCCGTTCCTGGGCTTTCCGGTGCCCGGGAAACAAGTCGAAACAAGTGGTCTTGAAGTTTCTGGGTCATGGTTCATTGAAGCCAGGTTTTTGAAATGAGAAAGCATGTGTCGATGCAACACAGTGCTGGATGAGGCGAGTGCACATGTGCAAACGAAACATCCGATATGCCCCGTACTACAGCACACGGTAGTAGCGAATGCCGTGACTGGCTTGAACCTATCATTCAGGCAACGTGCGGCTTCCTCCTCACTTGTGAGGCCGCATCACGAGGGTTCGGCAGAAGTTTCTGGGAATGCTTTCTGACGAAGGCCCCAGGCGGGGCGTGCTGCCTGCTTGGCCCATGGCTCAGCTGCTTGCGCTAAGGCTGCTACGGCCCCCCCAAAACCCTAGGCTTGATGCTGCGCTCCTTTCCAAAGGCACGGCTTCTCCAAGAAGCTGAGACAGCAGCATTGGATGCAGTTAAGGTCGCTCTCTCAGATACCACTCGAGGGTGACTAGGGTCTGCAGATTTCTGGCTGGTCGGCACCATGACTGCGAAGACCATCTGCGCGACCTGTTGATGCGATCCTGCCGGTACATTGTTGCACGAGCCCACATCATGTTCAAGCCGCTGCTGCTCCACATGTTAATTCAGGTGTCGGCGAGTGACGCCGGCCATGATCACAAAGAGAACATGCTTGAAAATGACATCGCTCCGACGCCTGCCAAGGCCGATTGCAAAGTCTCGTGATTAAATTTCTCCTCCGGAGCTGGTGTTGTTTTTTCCGCAGCAGGCCAAGGATGATGAACGCAGGTGGGCGAGCTTGCCAGCTTTTCCAAAGTGCACTTTGCCAGCCTCGAAGGTGGGGCGATGAGACGTGGCTTCTCGCTGATTTCTTAGCTTTGGGCATGCCACTCGCTGCTGCCTCCACGTCGTGACTTGATGTTGGTCCAGAGGCCAAATCGCGGCAACCTGCAGTAGTACCTGTACGACTACACTGGGGTCTGAAGGCGATGTCGTCACACAGATGTTCTTGCCTCAATGCATCCTGCCTCTGTCAGGGGACAAAGGAGCCCGTTACTCCAGCTTCTGGGACAAAGGAGCCCGTTACACGAGCTGCTCTTCTTGCAGCTAGCCAGATCTAGGCTGTAACTTTACGCCAGATGAGAACGCACTATGGCGGCGGCAAAGCGATGTGAAGACCGGGCGGTCGGGGGATATTGCAGGGTTTAGGGTTTACGAGTTTAGCGATTGCTGCGATGCAAATTTTTCGATGCACTGCGAGTGGACTAATCCTCTGCAAAGCCTGCGAGTTACTGTAGCCCTTCCGCAACAGGAATGCATTGCAATCGGGTAGAGCTTAGGGTTACAAGCTCGTTTGCAGCTTGGCAACATTGAGCGTACCCGTAAAGTGTGTCTGCAACAAGCGTATTACGACTGTCAGTCAGCCGAATGCGATACCCACCACCGAATCAGAAACGAAGCTAAAGGCAAGGAAATACTCAGCAGAACCAGATCCAAGCTCATTTTTGGAACGCAACGGCGTGATGTTCGTAGGCTCTGCTTCGCTAGCAAAAAAAGTGAGTGTGGAGGCTCTAGATTCGAGGCGCCGCTATCAACTACGACAGACGGTAAGATATAGTCAGATACTTCTTGCAGCCATGGCATCACGAGAAATAGATTGTTTCAATTCCATGTCCGTGCCCTGTGAGAGTCACACTCCCAAGCCTTGCCTGACGGATGAAAGAGGGGAAGGGCCTTTTGTGCTTCGTCTTCCCGTGGCTCCCAGCTTTTTCCAGTACCAGAATCTCAGAGAAGTCATGGCAGTCCGGTCGTACCTTGCAAGAACAGCTGCTGGGAGGATCGTTTAACGTTCGTCAAAGGGATTGCCTCCTAAGACGTGGGTGGCATCCCCACCCGTCGAGTATCAGAAATCCAATGAGCTCCAACGATGGCCAAAGCTGGCTGAGCCAGCTTGTGTGTGCCACGGCCGCTTTGGGCGGGGTGGCCTGTGCTGCTGTTTTTGCAAGGCACCGTCGCAGGGCATAAGGAATGGAATTTGTTCAGCGGCACTCTGTCCAACCTGCTTGCAGGCGAGCACAGAGGGTTTCCAAAGCTCGCGGACATTTGCAGGCGACGACCCCGGAAAGTTGCTGGGTAGATAGAAGCTCTAGTTCACACCTTCTGTGAGTAGTCGCAGCTCTGCGCATGCAGCTCCGGCTGAATCCGTATGCATGCTGGGTCGGTCTGAGACTGTGGATGTTTCGAGCTCCCTCGATGGGAAGTAGCCGACAGAACCAGAACTTTGATTTTATGCTCTCGAATGCCTCAACTTCTGCTCCGTCTTCTCGAGCGTGCTGCCAAGCGTTTGTTGGGATGGAGCTGTTTTGGGCCACTGAGGCCCTGCTCAATGCTTCAGCAGGGACAGATGCCCGCATTGTCATAACTGGAGCAAGCAGTGGGATTGGCCAAGAAATGGCGCAACAGCTGCTTAGTGCCTTGGCCTGCATGTCCGTGTATCCTAATGCTTTATGCCCACTCATCTCGCTCAAAGAGGCATGGCCCAATGGCAGTTTCTTAAGTGTTCCCCTCAGGACATCCTTCCGTGACCTTACTTCTGGGTTGCAGGGACAAGAAGAGGACTGAGGCCGTTTTTCGAAAGCTGAAGGATCGCACCAAGGTCGGGCAGTACGGTTCAATCACTTGTTGAGACACTGTAGGTGTATTTGTGCTTTTCAGAGGTCCACCGTTTGGACTTGCTCGACCCGGACTCTGTGCAGGCTTTTGCCGATGAGGCTTTCCGAAAGGTTCTGTTGATTCGATTCTGGCGCTTCATGATCAGCAGACCTGTCCGAAGGTGCATTTGTTCCTGAGAGAGGGCCAGCCTGGACTTCGGATGCTGCTGGCCGCAGGAGATGAGAATGCGTTGCGCTCCGAAGCCAGCTCTGAAGTGGTTGAGGCTCGTAAACAATGCGGGCGTTATGCGGCCACCAGCGAGTGGGAAAGGCATCCGAGATTTCTTCATCCGATGAACGCGACCTCTGAGCCAACAGGTGATGCCACCTGGCAGACGAACTTTCTGGGGCCCTTCCTCTTGACAGAATTGCTGGCTCGTCTGCGAAGCAAAGAGCAACCCGAGCCTGTCAGGTGCAGAGAGTGCCAACTGCCAACTCACTCTCTCTCTCTCTCTCTCTCGCTCGCTCTCTCTCTCTCTCTCTCTCTCTCTCTCTTTTTTGCTTCTTGTGCAATGCCATGCAGGGTCGTGCAAGTCTCCAGCCGTCTCGAGAAGCGCTCTGAGCTCAACGCAGAGCTGCTTGAGGGAATAGGTCGCGGAGAGGCGCGTCCACCAGATTTGTCATGCGGGGCAGCTTCTCACAGAGGGGGTGTGGAACTCACGACACGGCACTGGCACACCTCGCGAGAGTTTTGATGTAACGGAGGTGGGAGACCACGCCTATGCAGACTCAAAGCGAGCGCTGATGCTCTGGAGCGAGTTAACATTATGTTTGCCTAGGGCTGTCGCCTGGTGCAAACTGCCAGGACATCCACGCGGGCCCAGAGTTTGGCTTTCAAGGGCGGCCTTTACTGCCATTGCTCCACACCTGGCATGGTGGACACTGAGCTTGGCAGGCCCGCTGTGTATGTCTCCTCGTATGTGTCATGAGAGAGGAGAGAAGGATCGAGACCATTTTCCATCTCTGAATCATGTGTTGCATAACGAAATCTGCGCTCGGAGCTTGACCTTCGAATCCTCAATTCTTGCGATCTGCTTGCTCGTGCTCCGCTTCAAGTACATGGCATGAAAATCTTGATGAGCATCCCTGGCGCATGTTCCAGCCAGGGTTAACAAACGCAAGAGCTGACGAACGTCCTTTCTTTGGCCCGTGGCTGGTTTCAGGTTGGAGCTTTGGCACATGCCATGCTTAGTCAAGTCGAGAGGCTTGCATTGCCTGTGAAAACATGACAGTCTATTTCAATTAGTTGCGGCCTCACCTGTGGCTCTCGCTGCCTGGGCCTTGTAGCCCTTGACCCTTGATCTAGCAGGACCTAGCAACTCTTGCAATTCGCGCGTGCGCGCGAGAGTTGTGTGCTGCCATTTCATTGTTAGCCACCGACCGAAGCTGGTTCGACCGACGAGTTCGTTCTTCCTTGCTGTGTTGCCAATGTTGCCGTCTCGCGAGTCGCTGCATGACTCGCGTTGGGTAGCATTATTGCGGTAGCAGAAGCCCGTTTGCCAGGTATTCCGTGAGTCCGTGGCTGTGGCCGCTCACGAAGCCGCTCCGTGCCGACGGCAGCAGCTGGAGTGGATTTGAGCCGTAGCGAGAGCAATGGCTGCAAGGTATGCTCCTCCTGCGATCTCCTGCAGAGGGTGCTCTCGCGGCTGTGGCTGGTGGACTTCTTCCGCAGGCTACAACACGTTTCGGACGGTACATGGATGGCGAGGCTGGGACACAAGCCTCCGAAGCAACTGCGATTTTACCATCTGTGGGAGGTGCAATTGGAAGACTTGGTCCTGAGCCGTATGGGTGAGATCCTCAGGGCTGTTTTGAGCAGAAGTTACTGGACAACATAACCCAGAGACACCGAGCCATGGGCACAGATACCAGAAGAGTTAGACCCATTTTTTAGGTGGGCAAACATGCTCTCCTGCACGCCAGGCGAGAAGGCCCTAGCGACGGATCTCGTGAAATGGGCATCTAAAGCCACAGCTTTGGAGCAGCGCGCGGATGGCTACGACCGCTGAGCAAAAAAGATGAGGGTGGGTTTCGATTCAGTCGCACATGGAAAGCACGAGAGGTTGCAGGAGACAAGCTTGCTCTGAAGTGCATATCGAGTGCTCGAGTGCCGCCGTGCCGATAGATCGGCAAACTTTTCTGAAGACCGAAGTCGTCAGGAAAAGACAGAGATAAATGGCAGAACCCATCCTCAGTTTCATCGGGAACCCTTGCAGTCCCATGTAGACATTTTTCAATGGCGCATCTTTATCAGGAGCTCAATCCGCATCGCTCCGAGAGCTGATTCTTCACCTGCTCTGTTCGCATCAAAGTTGGCCGAGGCCAGTCCTCTACGTGGACAAAAAGTCCGGATTCACACCGGAGAAGTGGGCAGAGGCACCCACGACAGTATGACATTATGATGTGGCTGCGCTGTCAGACGAGGAATGTGTTGAGGATCAGTTCAGATTCCGGTTGGTCAAAACTTAGAAGGTCTCTGCAACGCAGTCGCCCATGTCAGATGTCAGACGTGTAAGTTCTTTCAGAAGTGTCTCGCCGCCAAAGCTGCAGGCCATCAAGGTTACTTGCACAGTCTATGTTGGCAACTTGTCATTCTTCACTCGAGAGGACCCTGTTTGCAGCATCCCGCGATGTGCTGCCCGTCTTGTAGTCACCCATGGGTACACTCTGGGTTTGCAGCACTTGCGATGATTTGCAGGAGCAGATTTACGAGCTATTCTCGAAATGTGGTGATGTGAAGCGGGTGGTCATGGGCCGGCGACTTACGGATGACTGAAGTCTTTTTTCCGCGCATTGCCCGCCTCGAGCTTCTGATGTACATGGATCGAGTGAAGGCGAGCTGCCGTGCAGAATTGCTCTCCGAGGCTTGAACAGGCACCAAAAAGCTCCATGTGGGTTCTGCTTCGTGGAGTACTTCAAGCACGCGGGGCACTTGGGAGCACTTTTATCACTTTGCTTCTTGCGGTTACCCGCCCCTCAAGCTGCGGTAGGAGCAAGCGGAGCTGGCCGTGAACCTGCTGCTCCGTGGCTGGAGGGAGAGCAAGCAGCAGAAACAGAGAGACAGAGAGACAGAGAGAGAGAGAGAGACAGCACTAGAACTCAAAAGGACTTGCCCCAGAGTCAGAGTCACTAGAAATGAAAAGGACTTTTTTTCTCGACCCTATAAACCCTAAACTCCAGACTGCCCTAAGCCATTCCCCTTAAACCCTCAACCCCAAACCCTAAGACCCTAAACCCTAAACCCTGTAAACCCCAAACCCTACAACCCTAAGCCCTCAACCGCATAAACCCCAAACCCTACAACCTAAAACCCTAAACCATTCACTCTAAACCCTCAACCCCAAACCCTAAGACCCTAAGACCCTAAAGCCCTAAACCCTACAACCCTAAACCCTCAACCCCCAGCTTTTGAAACGGGGGTTCCTCATTATGGTTTCTATTATGTAGTTTCTTAAAAAGGTGGGTTTTTTCGGTTTCCCCTAGCTTAAACCCTACACCCCTAAACCCTAAACCCTAAACCCTAAACCCTAAACCCTAAACCCTAAACCCTAAACCCTAAACCCTAAACCCTAAACCCTAAACCCTAAACCTTTTAAAACCGGGGGTCTCCTCCGAAGGGATCAGCGCTGGGAGGCTGGGGGGTGTCGGAGTGGGAGCCGAGCGGCGGAGGGACTCAGAGCTTCATGGGTTCGTTATTTAATACTAGATAATAGTATATTTTCTCAAACAGTTTTGACAGTATAGTATATTGTAGTATAGTTTCTTATATAATTCATCATATAAAATACTATAATAATAGTATATTACAGCATCGTAAACCATATAGTGTAGCATAGTAGAGTATCGTTGCGATGTCCAGGAAGTTCATCATGGGCCTGTAGGCGTTGCTCAAAGGGCAGTCCCCAGCTGAAAGCGATGTCGTCCAGTTGGAGGGGGCTGGGCTAGAAGCCGAAAGCGGGCTGCGCCTAGGGGGTTTATACAGGTGTAGGGCGGCTCATGGCGGTACCCGCAGGTTTACGTGATGTCGGCCCAGAAACCTGGGCACATACCTGCACTTGCAGTGGTGGAATTCTCCCACAAGACGAGTAAGAGACAGAGAGAGAGGAGACCAGACGGTTTGGGGACCAGTCATGCGGGGGTTGCAGGGTTCCTGGGCTTTTTCTCACTGGCTGTGGAGAAAGTATGTAGCTGCTTTCGGGATGGAGTGTATCGTGAGAAAGGACCTGAGGCAGCTTTAGCTGTTCTCCAAGGAACAAGACTTCTTTCGATGATCGCATTATACGCCGGAGCCTTTATTGTTTATTTGGCCGGTTCTTCGTGACGTCGTGAGGCAGCTTGACCTGTTGTATCTTCCGGGAGGCGTCGATCTGGACGCCGGGTACAGCAAGGGCCGGGAATATGGCAGGGGCGAGCCTGCAACTTAGATCTCCTGCACTCCTACACCTGAGCTGCAACAGCCGGCTAGAAGACAGGGCCCTAACTCCAAACCCTTAACCCTCACCCGAAACCCTAGAAGCGTGGCGGCTGAGAGGTTTTTTCGTGCAGTGTGCTGCAACAGCTGCGTGAGGACTGGCGGACAGTGGCGCGATGACTTTCGAGAGGACGTCGACGCTGCGCGAGGTGGCAAAGGCCAGCGACAAATCGGGATTATGTGGTTTCCTTATTATGGTACCTTACAGTAAGTTCTTTGACGAGAACCAAGAGGATATTGGCTCGACGACTTCCTGTATCATGATATGAGCACAAGGTTTACAAGTACAGAAATCACAATGAACACACGGATAAATTTTGCCCGCATAGATCCCAAACCGTAAGTACAACATAAGAAGTGCATGAATAAGACCTGCGAGATATGACCATAAGATCAGGCAACATGTGATGCATCACTTCAATCCAAATTATCTGAGGGTAAACCGTGGCGCTAAATCATTTTCGCGTGGCAAATTCGTGATACGCTTTCGCGGTCATGCCAGCATTTACGCCATACCCTCACACGGCGATGCTGGCTCCAAGAAAGCGCAAACGGGCCTGCATTGCTCGGGAGCACAGCGGATAATGCGCAATTCATCTGGCCGCCGGAAAACCTGCGCCCACCACGAGAACAATAGAACGCCGGTGGCCAGTATGCACCGCAACACATCTTAAAACTTGAGTCAGGTCTCCGCACGGATCCTCCTTAATAAATCAACATGGAGACCAAACTTGCACTGCATCATGCGAATACTAGGACGAGGGGAGCCATCGTGGCTGTGTCCAGGGCGGGGACCCTAATCAACTCTCTTTAGTCCTAAAGTAAGAACCCCTTAGTGTCACCACACCAATATATATATATATATATATATATATATATATATATACAGACACACACACACATACCAACACATACTTATACATACACTACATATGTCTGTATCCTAGTTACTAGTTCTCGTCTCGTTGTATCTGTAGATGCGAGTTTCTCTTGTCATGAGCTATGTCCCCTCGCATTCTTGTCTCGTCGGGCAAGCAGGTGGAGGACTGCTGAAAAGGATTGAGGGCATGTGTGCGGCTCAGTGTTGCTCGTTTGTGCTCGATGCTGCTGCCGCAGAGAAGATACAGTAACAATGATCCATTCGTATTTCAACTATAAGACAAACATAGAATACTCGCAAGAATTCGGCAAGCTTATAACCTCTGAGTATTATAGGTATCGCACGAAGCTGAGAAGAGTGGGAAGAGAAGTTTACAGGAGGAGTGTAAGAGCCGCGCAGAACTGGAGGCCTGGTCGGCAGGTTTACCGCGGAAACAAGCGGAAGGCAAGGGATTCGGATGTTCTTCAAGGCGGTCTGCTTTCCTTGGGTTCTTTGCAAAGCAAACCGTCTTGGTGAGGACCATGGGAGGTTCGGAGCAGCCGAGAATGAAGCCGCAAGCTCAGTGGAATTTCCTGCTTCGCTGCACTCGCTTCCTCCTTGCATTGAGGCGGGCAAGAAGGCGAAAGGGGACAAAGCTGCTGGTGGAGAGCTCAGATCCCGCGTGTCCGTTGTTGGAGTGGGGAGAAATACGAGCAACACTTGTATCCCTGGCTCTGAGCCTTAGTTGCAAGCCTGGCCAAACCGCTTCCGACCTTGTGTAAAGGAGCCAGCAAAGCAGAGCAAAGCAACACAAAGCAAAATGCAGCAATTCAAGCAACGACGGAAGCTGGCAAGCAAGCAGTCTCCAATGCAGGCAAGAAGCACCGCAAGATCAAGAAATCAGAAAGCTGACTTTAATGCCTTCTAGTGTGGCCCCAATGGTGCACTGCCTGAGTGGCTTGGTGTGCGGACGCTTACTTCGTTGCATCTGGACGTCAGTGGCTGAATCATCCATTGAATTGACACTAGCAACATGACACCTTTTGCGCACGTCCAGTCCTACTGCTAAGGCGCAGTCATGACATGCCATCGGGAAGGGCTCCTGCTGAGCAGAGGGTGCACGGGCAGCAGCCCAGTGCGGCAGGTAGCGCTGTGGGTACACCCACTGTGATTTCTTCTGGATCCCACATCCGCCTGGAAGTGTTGTATATCTCCGGTGCAACTGTCTGTGCCTCAGGACACAGAATCAATCCTTGCGCCATGCACAAAGAGTTAGGCACGGACATCTTGTAAGGTGGCTGCTCTCGATGCGTGCTCCAACTGGACTGGTGCAGATCTTAAGCGCATCCTGCAGCCATTTCTTCAGAAGGGTGTGGCGATCGCGGGAATCATCAACGAAGGCAGGTCAGCCGCAGCAGAAACCGTGCTTGACAGTCACTTCGTTTGCCGTCGGGAGGCACAGCGATCGAAGACACCCAAACACTAGAGGAGGCAGGCGTCAAGTCTGGACAGCTCTACCTGATGCTGCGGAGCTGTACATATTTGATCGAAGGCAGGGAGCTCACCAGTGAGATGCAGCAAGCATGGCATGAGAAGTTCATTGCGCGCACATCACACGGATATTCACTTCCAGACGCCGGAGCGGAAGTGGTGAACGGCTACTACGTCCAGAAAGAAGGCCAGATGCGTTTTTGCCGGTGTCAGAGACACTCTGCAGATGGGCTGAAGGTGAGCTGAATAAATCGCCAGTCTATGCGAATGAAGCTGGCATTCTGCTCTTCAAGTACAAGATGGCGGCTCCGAGAAGTAAGAGAGTAAGGAGACTAGAGAGCTGGGCTCTTTTTTCTCCCTTTTTTTGATCCTAGGCTCGGGGCTCCGAGTACTGGTACTTGAGCCGTGACGGGGACCTGAGCCGCTCCGACGGTGACTACTACCGGGTCCGCTCCAACAGCAAAAGGCCGCCGGAGGAGGGCTGGAGCTGGGAGGCTTGCCCTTTGGGTCGCCGGACCACGGCCCCTCGGCTCCTTCGATCAAGAGCCTTTCATGAGTCGACGAGGGTCCATGGGGGGTGGGGGGGGGCTTCTTTGTGCTTGAAAAGTCTCATAGGGGAGCCCCAAAAATAGTGTTGCCGATTACTTCTTCCTGAGCTCGAGCGTGCGCTCAGATCCCGACGTTGACGTACTTTGGGAGCGACAAGGCCTCTGCCACCGCTCAGAGCCTGCCGGAGCTTCGATGCTGCTCGGAAGTTGAATCTTTGCAGGAGCTCGGGGGATTCTGCTCTTCGTCCACCGCCTCTGGTGAAGCCCAGAGCGCTTCTGACACATCTGACTGATGAAGCGAGGGGCAAAGGTTTAAAGAATTCGGCAGGGCAACCCATCGCGGTTGTCGCCTCTTTATTATTTCGAGCCTACAACCGCAAAAGACCGGTTGGAGTAGAAGGTGGGCAGGCTTTGCCAGGCCGTTGTCTTGCAGTGGCGAAGGCCTTCGTCCTTTGAAGACGGTGTCTCGCCTTTCCTGTCGTGCCAGTGCCCCTAAAGGCGCCCAACCTGGGGGAGTAAAGAAACCTGCCCGTGACGCCGTGACGCCGTGTGTCATGTCATGTCATGTCATGTCATGTCATGTCATGTCCCTCCATGTCCATATTTGACGCCACGGGTCTCCCATCTCTCAAGGCAGCTGGGCCCAGCACGGAGCCTTGACTGCACCTGCGTGTGCGCGCTGTTGCCCCAACCTTCTGCTGTCGACGGTTGCTGGCTGTGCATGCTGAGCTGCTAAAGCTGCTGGTCAGGGCTTTTGGCTACTGCGCTTCCGCATGCACAGGACAACAGTTCTCCGAGCTTCCAATGCAGTTCGGGTTCCGGGCTTGGACTGGCGCTTCTCGTGCTGTCAGAGGCTTTGCCTGCATGAGATCTGCACAACTGAGGCCCGCACGCTTTGGAGGCCGCGGTAGCTGGACCACTCGCAGAATTGTTCTCTCACCACTCTTCTTGCTCAGGCAAAGGCAGAGGAAAGGGGAAGCCGTGAGTGAGCGGGCACATCCCTTCCACCTCCCTTCAAGCCTTAACTCCATCACGATCTACTTGGTCCATGCCAAGTCTGTTGGCCAATGTCGGACTGGTAGATGCTTGTACAAAGTCTGTTGTCGACGGAAGGAGAGATGCGTTGTCAATCATGGCGCGTCCAATGTGTTACGTGCGGGCCTGACTGCAGCATGCTGCATCTTTCAAGGTCATCTCTCGGCAGCCGTCCACTGCTTGGGCTTTAGCTGCCCTACTTCGTGGTTGTTTCAGTTGCTCCTGCACCACCGTATCGCTTTCAGACCGAGCACGCACACACACACACACACACACACACACACACACACACACACACCTGCACAAGCTTGAAGAGAGCTCAGCCCCTCCGGCAGTTCGGGGCCATGCGGGGCCGTCTGCGACATCGATTCTTGGCTCTCGCCCTCGGGATCGCTCCCAGGATGCAATCAGCTGAACTTTGCCTGGCCGGAGACCCTCGCCTGTTGCTTGCGCTGAGGCCTTGCACAGCTGCCCTGTTGGCTTCCTCGGCTACAAAGGAGCGCTTTCAAAGCAAACACGACTTGTCCTCCTGTGGTCTGACGCTCAGCCTCGTTGGTTGCGCCCCAAGGCGAGACGCCGTTCAAGCAGTGCAGTCAAAGCAGATGTGTGGCACTCCGCGCTTCTTTCGACCAACAGAGGGTATCGTGGCATGGTTGAGCTTTTGGATAGTGCAGGGCTTGTTGGTAACAAGGCTTTTGGTTTCCCTGATTCTCACCCAAGGCTGCCAAGCGAGAGCTCTTGGATGCTGTAAAGGATTTCAAACGCGAGCTGAGCAAGAGCGGTGGTGACTTGAGTGTAGACTTCGGGGTGAAGGGCGGCGAGCTCGACAAAAAGGATCGAGCGCCAAAGAACTTAGCTGCCGCAGGGGTCTTCCGTGCCGTCTCGGAAGATCTTGGAGATGCTGCAGATCGCGTTCTCGAACTGGCGGACTTGCTTGCCCGGTATACGCCCAACAAAGAGCCACTGAAACACTTTGGGACGTCACTGGGATCGGATTGCCCGTTGCATGGAGCTTGGAGCTTGCTGTTCACGACAGCCGCCGATGCAACATTCACGAAGAACAGCACTCGGGGTGCGGCCAAAGTGTGCAACGTCGTAGATGCAAAGGCCGGCACTGTAACGAACTGCATCGACTTTGAAGAAGCCTCAGCTCTTGAGAGCCTTCGGGTCCGACTGACTGCACGTCCAGCTAGCCCAACGCGCTTGGACCTGGCCTTCAGATCCCCTGCAGCAAACTACGGCAGAATGTTCTCCTCCGAACTTGCATTTCATCCATGTCATCATCTCTCGACTCGGAAGCTAAGGATATATACGTGCCCGAGTGAAGAGCTTCTTCGGTATCCCGCTGGGCGGCCGGCGACTAACGCTGACGCTGCCGGTAGCTGGTCCATTTCTGACGCGAGTCTTATCTTTCTTTACCAGGCTGGGATGGTCTTCATTGCAGGTCTGAGGGCTTCGGGTTTTGAGTGTGCTGTCCTCAGGAAGCCGCCGCCACAACCGTACTTCGATCTCCTGTACTTGGATGACACCCTGCGTGTACATAGAACAGGCCAGGGCAACCTTTTCATACAAGAGATCACGAAGCCGCCACCTTTCGTTTAAGTCAGGTGGCACAAAACGGGAGATGCATGTGTTGCCCAGGAGTTGCATCGGTGCGACGACAGTGCAAATCAGATTTTGCAGCCATATGTGAAGACATAGGGAAAGGGTAGGAAGATTAGGTTTCACTGGGCTTCTGCCCGTGTTCCAGTTCTGGCTTGTGAAATACGCTTTAGCTCATATGCCAACTCATTACTTGAACGATTGTTTTTGAACTTTCAGACGCACTACTCCCCAGACATGCCTCCAGCTGTGGTCCTTGGTGAGCCATGGCGGAAGCTGAGGCCCGTTGTTGAACACTGCTAGACTCAGAGGAACTCGGGGACGACGCCTGAGGCGGCGCACCTAGATCCGGTGAAGTTCAGTGGCCCGTTGCATGGCCTGGATCTTGGTGCCGCACAGACAAAGACCTCATACGGCATAGTAGTATTTGATGTGGTCAATGCCTTTCTGACAGTGGCTTTTTCGAGTTCATCTCGGTGTGTTGCGTGCGATGCAAGCTCGGTCCCATGTGTCAAAAGGGGAAAGGGCATCACTTGTGCGCCTGACATGCCTGACATACCTGTGATTACCATAGCGCGACAAAATTCAGACTACATGAGCAGCAAGCCCAGCCACTCGCAGCAGTCAGCACTTGCCCTTAATTGAGGAGTATGTCAGCACCTGTCGCAATGATGTCGCGGTGGGATTTGTGCTGAAGCCAGCGGCTTCGTTGTGGCGCGGGAGGATGGGGAAGGCCGAAGCTCAACTGCTGGCTGGGGTGAAGCAGCCAGATACCTGAGCAGGCAAAGCCAAAGACGGCTGCAAAGAGCACCAACGGAGACGGAAAGGCCATCGGGAGGAAGAGCACTTGCAAGAATGCCCTGTCGTTCTTCATTACTGAAGCTGCTCTTGCCATGCAATCAGGCATCTGCCGGGTGGTCTCCATATTGGACACTGCCGATTGCTGGACTCGTGCCTCGTTTGTTGCGGTCGACGGCATGTCGAAACGATTCTGCGTTCGTGCTGCCTTCGTTGATGTGCATCGTGTAAGCATAAGAGCATGATCCAGGTGCTGCTGGTGGCATGGCTGGTTGCCGCAAGAAGCTCTAGCGGAGCAGGCACAGCACAACCATCGGTCCCTTCTTCCACGCAACCAAGCATCGGAGGTGTCGATGAAGCATCGAAGAAAGATTCCGGTGCTGCAGAGGCGCGCCGAGTGCCCTCCTTTCAATCTGAGCGCTTTGTCTGTGCTGAGGACCCCAGTCGCGTGGGCAGCAGGAACCGCGATGAAAAGCCAGCCCCTGTCCCGGACTTTATACCCTCAGCAGTGGGAGGTTGGTGTTGAGGGATTCGCCCTTCTCCTTCGCGAGCAGAACGAGAGGTCAAACAGACGGCGAAGACGAAGACGCCGACCAAGAGCAGCCAAAGTAAGGCAGAGACCGTTGAGGATGGGAGTTGGTTCTGCGGCAGTTTCCATTGCCCTTGACGAAGTGTCGAAATTTGCTTGCAGGACGGTCCTTACAAGTGGAATCCGAAGACACTCTCTGTGGTCTTGCCCTGTGCTGGAGAAGGGCTATTTGCCAAGAAGACCCTCAGCCTTGCATGCTATGATGGGGTATCGCGTCGGGCTTGGGGTAGCGCAGAAGCCCCTACCTGACACAGGACTGTCATATCCGTTGCTGATTCGGTTCCCGGCGGAATCGGTGGCGGTATTCTCGAAGACATCGTCGTGTCTTGCATCAATTGAACAATGTTTTAGTGTGAGCTCGCAAGCCGAGCTTTACAAGGTTGTGGACGATGGGAGCCAGCCGCCGCTGGATAAGGATTTCCTTCTAGTTTGCATGCTTGCAGTCTTTGCGCTTCACGTGCCATGTGGCAGGACTTCCTCACGAAGGAATTTCGCAAAGAGCCTCTCGACACATGACAGGGGTTTGTGATGCGCATTGGACAAGGAACGACAACTGTCATGCTGCCATGTGGCTAGGTACCCCGTGAAGCTTGTGCGGCACAAGACTGCTGTCGGGCTCATGGGTGCGAAGTCTGCAGGCCTCCGGACAGGAGCCGATGCACGAGCTTTGATTTTCCAAAGCCCTCAGGCGCAGCCAAAGCTGCTGGTGATGTCATCGTTTTCTTCGACTGCCACGTTGCGCCGCAGGCTGGCCGGTTCTCTTCAGAATGAGTTTTTGTCTCTTGAAGGGAAGTTGCTGCCGCCGATGGCTTCTAGCAGGAAGATTGGTATCGAAAGTTCTTGGACAGCATCGCGATGAACTACCGCCGCATTGTCGTTCCTGTGCTGGTCCCAGCGTCCATCGAGCCCCGGGTGGCTGATGTTTTCAGGCGTGACCATAGTTTCTATTCAAAACTTTGTGAAGGTCATCACCAATCTGGACATCGATACGTGGAAGGAAGTGAATCGGAATCAAGGCTTTGCCAAATGCGGCTCGGCACGTCACTGCACGCCACGCAACACCTAAGACTTGGCACAGTCGCCAAGGCTACCTCACTTGGGATGCCGATTTCAAGTGGGTTGAGACTGCTCCGCACTTGCGGCCCCTGCATTCTTGGATTTGGCCTGTCCCAATGACTGGCAAACAAGGAGAGCAACTCGCCTTTCATGCCGGTTCTCTCCGGCGGCTTGCTTGGCATCTCCAGGCGCTGGTGGAATGAAACAGGAGGCGGGCCTTTAGCCATGCCGGGACTCTTTTTCTGCACAGTGCGCAGTCAGCTTGTTTCTTTGCACCACCGCACGCAGTCGTCACACGTCGCTAGGTATGTAGCTTTCCTGCCACAGCAACGAGACATGCTCATGGCGATGTACTGCAAAAGATAACGAGGAAGCACTAGGAAGACACCTCGAGGATATGACGATGGAATGAGCGGCTGGGGTGGAGAGAATGTTGATCAGTCTGGTCCTCACCGTTTCTGTGAGGACATCTTTTCATCCTCCTGCTTTACTTTGCCTCACCCAGGTCCTTGCGGTCGTGGCTCTGTGGTGGCGAGATCCTTTCGCTCCCGAATGCCTTTGTGGCCCATATGTGGCGAAAGACTCATGGCTTGAGCGAGCTCGAGCAGCGAACCTCAGGGGCCAGTTTTGGATACCATCTTATCTTATATGCCATATGATACTACGTTGTACGAAAGTTCTACTACATTACTACATTATACATTATACAAGAAACTCTAGACCCTAAAGTCTAAACCTTTGTCTATTTCTATGCCAAGGAGGGAGGATCCGCGAACTGCGCAGAACTACGAGGTCTCCCAGCTGGACTCAGTGAAGAACAAGGCTGCCCGACTCGATCTGAGCATCATCGGCTCGTGGGTAGTTAGGGTTCCCTTTAGGGTTTAGGGTTTAGGGTGCCGCACTATTTTTGGGGGACCTAAAAGGGGAGCCTAAGTTTGCTTCCGATGCCTTGCCTGGACCGTAGAGAGGCCACTGTGCTGTGGCTGCCAATACAGGGCCTTAGATATCTGGGAATAGGGGTTTGGGGTAGATGGTGCGACGAAAGTATTTCCATACAGAATCAGATGTTTGGGGTAGATGATACAATAGCGAAAAATAACCACGCAGAACAATAACTAACCACCTCTTCAGGCTTCTGAGTTAGGTGGTCGCCACGGCTCCTCGGATCAGCCGAAACCTACGAATGCTTACCGTGCCCGATAAGTGAGGTGCAGGTTTGCTTATTTTCACTGTTGGACTCTTCAACTCCCCTCGTTTTGTGCTGACTCTGCCCTCGTCGGCTCCAAGCTTGAGGGAATTCAGGGAATAGGGCTGACGGCTCCAGGGTCCAAACCCTGAGCCTTAAACCCTAAACCCTAAACCCTAAACCCAAACACCTCTGTCGGGATCCTGCGGATGGGATTTTTCCCTCGGAGGGTTGGGGGTTGCCTGTAGTGGTGTTGGGAGTAGGGCCTATGAGGGCTTCACAGGCTTTTGGGGGTTAGAGGGTTTGGGGTTTGAACTTTGGCTGAAGGCTTTGCAGTGTCTCATTTTTGGTTTGGATTGATTTGTCAGGAAAACATGTCGGATGTAGGTTTTGGGTGTGCTCGTTTTTGGGTATCTGAGGGACTGGGCGTGATGTTGTAGCGGTTCGATATGCCCTCTAGGGCGATCCAGAAGCGCAATCCCGTTCGGAGGGTGGAGTCTGCTCAACCACTTCGATCCAACACTCCCATCGATGTCTGCAGAGAGCCCAACCCAAGCCGCAGACATGCTGCGAGTCATGTTATCCCAAGTCCCGAATTCCAGAGATGAAGGATTGAAATGTTTGTCAAGCTGAGAAGCGTTGCTGCCTGCTAGAGAAGTCAGCTGCTTGCACGGACTGCATACAAATAAACCATGTGCGGCAATCGTCACGAAGCACGCTGAATAGTGGTCGTGAAGCAATGCAGGCTTCGGCTGATACCCTTGCGCTTAAGTCTTCTTTGAGCTCTGGCTTCTTGGTGGCCTGTCCCTGTGTGTGCTTGCAAACCGAGGCGCGGGCGGTGCTAGCGTGGTTCGATGAGTATCGCAGTAAAGCAGCGGAGTACCCGGCCATGTCCTACGTGGGCCCGAGCCTCGGAAGTTGCCGGGAAGGTTTCCGAAGTCTGCGGCTTTGATCTTCCGTGCCGAGCGGGCCACGATGCGAGTTTCGACTCAGGTCTGTTGGATGGCCAGAAGTCTCAGGTGCCACGCAACCAGACCCACTGTTTTCCAAGAAGGAAGACGAAGCTCTGCCTGTGTTTGCGTCGAACCTGGAGTGACATCAGAACATATCGGCAACCTGATCTGCAGGTTGATCTCAACCGCGACGTGAGCAATTTCGAAGAGGTCAAGAACCGTGGTCTGGCGGCAGTAATTTCATTGTCACTGGCGGCACCTTCTGGAGGAACAAGAGGCATGACGACTCATGCTTTTGCCTGAGGACTGCAATGCCGACCTTTTGCCTGGTTCCTGTGGCGATTCCGCTCCACTCTCATTGTTTCAGTAGTCAATGTGGTACGATGAAAATTTGGCCTCCTCCTGATACAGCGTGATGCTGTTGCTGCGCAGGTGAGATCTACATGGAGGGTGGGTTGCTGCCGACGGAGGTCCACAAGCTGCGAGAGGCACCACCGAAAGAACCGAATGCTAGTCGAAGTTTATACTATGCTATATTACAGTATGTAATAGTATGTAATAGCATGGAATAGTATGTAAGAGTATACTATGCTATATGTTAAATTATATCATATTGCATAGTATTATATTACTCTCTCTCTCTGTATATGTTACATGTATTGTATCATATTGTGTTTTCTTATATTTCATGAGATTTAAAATATGCAATTATGTATTATATAATATGTATATTATATATTGTATATTCTATCTTCTATATTATCTGTTATATGTTGTATATATATATATATATGTATATGTATATGTATATATATATATATATATCATTATGTTATATAGTATATGTTATATACAGTATATGATATATTCTATATTTTATGTTATATAGTATATATATATATATAT